TTTTTTTAAATTCGTTTTTACGCAGTCGGGTTTTTTAATCTATACTTTAATAAAAACGTAACCGATCGATGTCTGTACATTGCAGATATATGAAAAAAACTGTTATGAGGGACATTTATAAGCGTAATAGAACTGATTTTTAAAAATTTTGTCTGTTTGTCTGTGCGTTTGTGCACGATAACCTCAGAAACGGCTGAACCGATTTAAATGCAGTTTTCTATTGCGGTATTCTTTCGGTAACATTTAGTGTAAGATTTATTTTAATCAGTTCACAAATGGAAAAAGTCATGTCAATTTGAAGTGACGTGTTCGCCAAAATTGCTATGAAATATTAACTGTTTTATTAAATTTCCGTCTTTGATATATTGATCATCATCATTAACTCTTTGACAGCCAAACTGCAGGGCCTCAGGCCTGTGTTTAATAATTTTTGGTCACCCATCCCGTGAGCAACTCTTGCGAAAATTGCTTAGCAATATCGATCGTGCGCAGCGGCGCTTATCCGTAGCGAATTAATATTGTCTATAAAATTATAATTTGTATGATGAAAAATAGAAAATAAGATTGCAAAATTTTGAAACTCCGAAGTAGTTGACCTCATTTATAAATGACGCGAAAAGAGCCTTCCGATGATGCATTTAAGCATCGAGTAGTTTACAGTGAACGCATATTTTTATCAGATTAGGTTTACGTCGTCGTTGGGGTCAGCGGAAGTGGTTGGCAGCCCCCGCATTGCATGGTTTTTCTCTGGGGACCCACTGGGCAGCTATCGGGTTCACAGAGAAGAATCCTACTCTCCCCCTGTTACTTGCCACGTAGCAGAGACAATGTCAGAAGCTTTTCCACGAAGTTAAAAAAGTTAGATTGACGTCAACTGAAGTTAAGAACATAAAGACAACTCTATTTATATTTTTTTTTTCTCTTATTACTATTTTTATGTTAATACTATTTTTGTTTTTTTTAACATACAAATTTGCTGTAGATACGTTCTTCAACGTTGGTATTTTCAGTCTTCGCCGGAAACAATGGTTTATTCATTGGTCACAACACATATAATATTTCGTGAGTTCAGAGTAGCTCGGTAGCGTAGTGAATAAACGCCATGGCTCGCGATTGTAGTTCTTAAGCAACTTTTGCAAAGGTCATTCACAGGATGGGTGACCAAAAAAATATTATCTTGAGCACTGTACACAACACTGGCACAATGCACGTTAAGCCGTTAGTCCTGGCTGCATCAGCAACGTTAACACCCACCGATCCGCATTAAGCCTGCATAGTGGGTTATGGCCCATTGATCTTATTCGATTCGACTCCATCCATAGGAATAAAAGAATTCCAACAAAATACTTCCCACGCAGACGTAGTTGCGGGCACAGCTAGTGTACAATAAATATAGATTATCAGTATATCTAAAATTAACAATATCGATTAACGATATCGAACCAATTTCTTTCAAACTTCCTGTTAGCACGCGACTACCGTTACCTGTTAGTTTATGTCCACCGTATATTATGTAATTTCCCGCAAATAAAAAACTTATTAATTGGTTCAAGTTTCAGGCCCTATCCAATGCAACAAACAACCAATCAAATCTTTCCTTTTTACAATATGAATAAACACTCACAGGCACAATTAACCGCCCACCTGTATCATTCAACACCTGTTTGGTTCCGTCAAATATGGCTTATCAACTGTTTTATTTTTTGTTAAGTGTAATTTTGTGGTACTCCAGTAATAAATAGAATTTAGTCGTTGTTTTATAATGTTGCTGTTGTGTTACCGAGTTAACATTTGCTGTTTCTATCATAGCCAGATCAAGGCCGACATCAATGCACTTCGACTACAGATGAACGTTTCATTTTCACCAATGTGTTGAGATCTCGCTTTTCGACCGCTACTGAAGCTCGTACGCGTCGTTTTAAGGAAGAAGACTAGCAGAAAGTAATTTGAGGGCTTTTCGTCCAGCTATACAACGTGTCCCAAAATTCAACGATAAGCGGGCGCCAAGAGGTAGACCTGCTCATGTGTACTTATGGAAAAATAAGAAAAAAAATATATCTTATTAATCTTTTTTATTATAAAATTAAATTCGAAAATCTTCGAAAATTTACACCTTTTATGATATTTTCAACTACCATGACCACGACTTCTCAATTATGTTCAATCTTTTTTTGGTATCGGATACCTAAGTAGCACTACTATTCGCTACAACTCTTAAAAACATCAAAATGCACGCAGTTTTTACACAAAAAACAATGAAAATGTATTTTTTCTTTAAATTTTCACAGATTTTTACGTTCCGTAATCTTTGACTTACGGTCTTGTAAAAAAAAAGTATGGACACCACTGTGGCAAGTTGTTTTTAAAATTGACTGAACTCATCAAGATTCCAAAATGGTATAATAATCTAAGATAACTAGTCACAGTAAAAAAATATGCACACCATTTGTAAACAAACGAACCAAATTATAAATATTCATTAGATATTTATTTATTAAGTAATGCTCTATTTCTGCTATTTTGAAAGTATTGTTTTTCATGCCACTTCGCCCTTTACTTGTGTCTATGTATACCAAATTACCAATTCTACCAGCTACCTGCACCCGAGCGGCTGCCTCCCTTTATCGAAAACGAGTTCTGCGGCAGTCACATTCCTTTGACGTAATTTGTTTTTCTAACTCAGTTCGCACGTTTGTAATGGCTCAACTTATAGTTGACTCAACAGATAGCGAGAAGGGGGGTATGTTAGAGAGGGATAGATAGATATTTTTTGTAGAATAACAACAATGCAGGTACATAGAGAAATCCTGTTCTCAGCAAATCTGAAGTCGGATCAGTACGTTCTGCTCCTTTGTTTACTGCGCACCTTTCTGTATTCAATTGACGTAGCTCTCGTACTAACGACTTTTGGCTTTCTATTTTGGACTAGAATTAAGTGATCTGCAAACTGAACTAACCTGGCATTAATTTGGACTGTGATAGTGTTTTGTGAATTGGACTTGTGTCGTATTTTGGATTGTTTAGCGTTATCATGCCGCTACCATACACGCCGATGGAATACGCTAATATACACCTCATTTATGGAGAATGTCGGTGCAATGCTAACGCTGCTAGCAGATTGTATCGGGAAAGGTACCCGAACGCCAAAAGATACCCAGATTACCGAGTATTTATGAATGTGCATCGAGCGTTCTCGGAGGGTCGTTTGCCATCAGCCAGAAGCAACGCTGGAAGACCTAGATCGGAATACGATGAAGAAGTTCTCAATGAAATAAACATTGACTCAACTACTTCAGTACGCGCCATAGAAGCAGCTACGGGAATCCCAAAAAGTACGGCTCATCGAATTTTAAAACGTCACAGGCTTCACCCATACCACAACAGACGTGTGCAAACATTGCTACCACGGGACTATCCACTACGGATCACATTTTGCCGTATTATGCTTCAAAAGCACCGGGAAGATCCTCAATTCTTGGACAAAGTACTATGGTCGGACGAAACAACATGCAAGAAAGATGGATATTTAAACCTCCACAACCTACACAGCTGGAGCAATGAAAATCCACACCTAATGAGACAGGAAAAATCCCAATATCAGTTTAAGGTTAACCTATGGACGGGCATATTAAATGGAAAAGTGATCGGGCCTTTTGAACTACAAGGAAACTTGGATGGTGACAGTTATTTGAACTTTTTACAAAATGATTTGCCAGAATTGCTTGAAGACGTCCCCTTAAGAGATCTACAAAATATGTGGTTTCAAAATGATGGTTGCCCAGCTCACTACGCTCGTCCTGTGAGATAATACTTGGACCAAGAGTATTCCGGGCGTTGGATTGGGCGACTTGGTCCTATCTTATGGCCACCCCGATCACCCGACCTAAACCCCCTGGACTTTTTCTATTGGGGTTGTCTCAAAGACAAAATCTATGAAAAACTCATTACGACATTGGACGAGCTTCGGCAAAAAATTAGTCAGGCTGCGTCACATATCAATGCAAAAAGGTATGCACGAAAAATAAAACGCTCTTTTTTAAGGCGATGTCGTGCATGTATTAATGCCGGTGGAAAACAATTTGAACATTTACTGTAATGTTAATTATTAATAAATGAATGAGACTAAAACTCACTATTGTTTAATTTCAATATTTTTTTTTAATATTAAAACATTTCGGAACAGTACAATTTATTACTCACAACTTTGGTTATTGATTCTAAATGGTATGATTTTTAGTTTGTTGCTAGTTATCATGAAGTATTATACCATTATGGAAACTTTATGAGCTGCGTCAATTTTAAAAACAACTTGCCGCAGTAGTGTCCATACTTTTTTTCTACATGACTGTGAGTCAAAGATTACGGAACGTAAAAATCTGTGAAAATTTAAGGAAAAAAATACATTTTGATTGTTTTTTGTGTAAATACTGTGGGCATTTTGGTGTTTTTAACAGTTGTAGCGAATATTAGTACTACTTAGGTATCCGATACCAAAAAAAGATTGAACATAATTAAGAAGTTGTGGTCGTGGTAGTTGAAAATATCATAAAAGGTGTAAATTTTCGAATTTTATTTTATAATAAAAAAGATTATTATGATATAATTTTTTTCTTATTTTTCCATAAGTACACATAAGCAGGTCTACCTCTTGGCACCCGCTTATCGTTGAATTTTGGGACACGTTGTATATGTAAAATTACATATACTCTCCGCCAACTTTAAAAATTCATACAACTTCTCATTTGTGCTCCTAAATGCTATATTTTGACCAGCCAAATTTTTTTTAATTTCGATTATCCTTTCCAAAACTACCGTCCACCTCTCTTTCTCGCTATCTATTCAGTTGGATTAACCGAATCCACTATTTGCCCTTTAAATAAGTCATTTTTCAGATCTAAATATTTTTTAAGAACATACGTGCCCTGAACTTTTCTCATGTCATTCTATATTTCTCGACAAATGGCCCCAGTCTTTGTCCATTAAATGCAGTGAAATTAATATTAAAAAGCTTACAATGAAAACAAAAGATAGAATCAGTAAATGTGGAATATACAGGGCCGTGCAGGTAAATCCGGAAAAATTTACTGAAAGAAAAAATAAATTATATTATCCTAAAAATTTTTTTACATGCACACAACTTGGCGAAATAAAAGTCCTCACCACATACGTTAATATTACTCTATATAATCCCCGTTCGCCTCAACGACCTGCTCCAGCCGAAACCTGAATCGCCTACACGCCCGAGCCAGCTCCTTTCTGTTCATATTGGTCATTACCGCCGTAATTTTTTTACGTAGCGCGTCCTTAGTGTTATGAGGTTCATTGTTCACCTCTGCCTCTACTACGCCCCACACGATGTAATCCAGCGGATAGCAATATGGGCTGGAGGGCGGCCACAAGTCCGGCGACCAATGATAAGGAACATTGGTATAAAACCATGCTTGGGTGACTTTTGCCTTGTGGGCTGCCGCAGAATCCTGTTGGAACATGTATTCACCTCCATCGGCCACACGGTCCACGGTTTAACGACCGTCTCTAACACGTACACGTACACCGCCGCGTTGATTCCAGGACTCCGTGTTGCTTGTCTGACCTGGATGATTATATGGCAGCAGTCTGTGTCATAAATTCTCCTTCTATATTTAATTTTCATTCTTTTTTCCTCGTCGTCGGTGTGTTGGAATATTTTATTTACTAATGATGGCTTAAATTTGGTATCTTTTATTATTATTAACGGGTCTTTGTTTCTTACTTCTGCTATTTAATTTCTTTTTAGATTCTGTAAGTTTTCTTCCAATTTCTTTTATATTGCCCTATTACCTGCAACTCATTATAACCTTCTGGTCTTTTACTTAGCGTACTCTGTCGATTTGTATTCTTTCTTTCCTTTGGCTTTGTTAATGACTTCTTCCGCAGTGTCCATTGGGTTTTCGTATGCCACTAGAATTGAGTGCAGGGTGTTTGGGATCTGTTTTTTTGTGTTTCTTGTTTTTTCAGTGTATGTTTCTATTCAGGTTTGGTTAGATGTTTTAATTTTTATTATCATTTCTGCCATTATATCCTCCCTTGCATGAGTTACTCTCCCTAAGGAATATATATATAGACATATATTCCTTTGTCTCTTTTTGTCTTTTGGACAGTTTTTCTGTGATGTTTTCGAATAGGGATTCGCTATGTGAACTAATGACCTGTATTAAAACGTGATCGATTCTTCCACTAAACTGATTTCTATCCAAAGCCATGATTAGATCCAATTTTCAAGGGCGGTTAAGCTGGCAAACACGTACTCTCAAGATCTAAACCGGGACTCGTTAATAAAGAGTACCACCTCAACCCACTGACGGTGTTTCCAGTTCAAGTGCTCCGTTGCTTACTATAAATTGTTTCCACAATTCTTACTTCGTAAAGGTGGAACTCGCAGCAATCTACGAGGGTGAAGGAAGGTTGACTTTATACAGTCTTCTCCTGACAGTTCGATCAATTACGTGCAGTTGGAGTTCATAATATAGTCGTTGGCCTTGTTATCCTGTTGTAACATTTGTAATGCGGCTTGGTTTAAGATGTTGTACCGCCACTTCACCCAGCTTTCGATAGCATGATCTAAATATATAACTTTGTTTTTGCCAATAGCTTTTGCAATACGATGACACAGTACGGAATCGCCTTCCAACATTCTTATGGGTCCTAACATCTCCTTTTATTAAAAAACTCTTATGAATGCTACATTCTAGAAAAAATTATATAAAATAAGGTTTAAGTAAAAAAAATAAAAAAATTACTCTGTCCTCTATATAGCCATTTCTAGTGGTGTATTTCGACGTTCTACTGAACAAATTCATATGTTCCCACATTCATCTTCAATTTATTTCTTTTTTATCAAATTTTGAATCCTATCTCAATATTCGATATAAGTAATTCTTTTTTATTTATTTTCTTGTATTTTTTTGTAATTCGACCTAATGTGAAATATCCCTAGACCATGCTGAGCAGTGTATATTCCAAATAAGTGTCAAAAAAAATATTTTGGTATTTATAAGTTAAAGTGGTTCATATTATTAAAACTTATAACAGATACCTCTACTAGCACATGTAGGACACAATCCTGAGTTATATTAATTCGCTCATTGAGCGAAAAAATAGTTCACAACGCGTTGTGGCAATGAAGAAAAGCCGACGCATTCTGAGAATTAATTGGTTTAATTAGCTGTTTCATTTTACAATAGCTATTCGCTCCTGGCATTTCACTGGCCGCTACCACGGCACGCTCGCTTTGCTCGCTCGGCTCGTGCGTTGTTTGTCATACTCTGACCTAACCTAACCTTTTTTTGTTAACACAGCGGAAATGCACCCCTAAACTCCTTCTCAGGGCTCTCCTTCCACCGGCTCTAAAAAAAGCAGGTTAGTGTAAAAGGCCTGGTAAAATCAGCTGCTGTTCAACTCACGCGGATAGGAACAACCCGGCATCCTACAAGGAGGGCAAAGTTTCTTCCACCGTGCTGGGACTACTATCGGAGGGTGGAAAGAAATAGGCCGAATCTAAGCCAACCTAATCAAATATGGTTCAATACGCTTTGGTTCAATTGTTTTTCGTCATTGCTTAGTTCTTCTATATTGTCTTCTCGGTTTAATAGAAATAAACACATTTATTGTTATTTTTAACTTATTTGTTAAGCGCTATTCATCATGTGGGTGGATTTTGATATACTCATTGAGATACCTGTAGTATTCAGATTCGATACATTTTTAATGAAAGATGCTTAAAAAATCCACAATTACATATTTTTCAGCATTGTGAATGCAAAATTGTTCAAATATAATAATAAGAAATAAAATTTATCGAAAGTTTAAATATTTGTAAAAATATTTAATACTTTCGGTTGTTTGGGTGAACTGCCTGAACATTGATGAAATTGATGAAAATTCGTAGTAGCGAAAACAAGTGCTTGAAAAATTCGTCAGTCCTGTTAGGTCATGGGTAGTTCAGTGGTTAGAGCAGGCGCCCGGATTGTGAAAGGTCATGGGTTCGAGCCCCATCTCAGAGTGTGCCAGGGACAAAGTGGATTTTTAGGCATTTTTCATTAAGTATATTTTTCAGTATAGCAATATGAATGTAAGATTGATCAAATATGTATAATAACAAAAATATTTTTCAGATTCCTATTACTTTAATGTATTATCTAAGACACTATAGTTATTGCGTATAATACCAAATAGTGGACAAATAATAGTAGTCTAAGTACAAATACCAGACAAAAAATTCCAAACTATAAAAAATGTATACCCTAGGCACGTAAATCCCAAAGGCCTTGAATATTAAGACCCTTGGCGCGTCCGCCCTGCATTTTTTGAAACAAACTTTAAGCCAAACACATACTCAGCATACAGCGATACCCTTTCGTATAGTTCGGATCCCAGTGGCAGGTTATTCCCGGGAATAGTTGAGAAAAACCAAAACTTAAACTCGTCTAGTCATTTCATCATTCCCAACATTCCTCAAATTGTCTTTTAAACTTTCATAAAAAAAAACAAACATCATAAAAATACACATTTATTAATATAAAAAAAAAATACTTTTTAAAGCCATCACGCATTCTTCATTAGAAAAAGTTATCGATTCAATCGAATGCTCTCCATATAAAACGATTCGTAGTCTTGGAAAGATTTACCGTCGACATCCCTTTTGTGCAACATGTACTTCTTCAAATCATTATCATCCCAAAATTTCAGGTTCTCTTGGCCATTATCTAAGGTTTTATTTATCTTTTGTAAATTGACAATATTTTCGTTTACACGTTTTTTTATCTTGTCTATAAATTCTTCTTCTTTATTCTTGATAGATAGATCTGCAAAATAACCAAATTACACCTTATACTAGTAGTTATCAACCGGTGTTTGGACGGTTCTAGTGACCACCAGTGGTCCGAAGAATATTAAATTACATAAAAAAAATATTTAAATCTATTTTATACGCATTTTATTTACACATTAAACCAAATGATAATACTTTATTTATGCTGTACCTATAGATTTAGTTACATGATATTAGACCAAGTTGTTCCATGCTAAAGTGATCCCTTATTATTTTTATTATTTTTTACGCTTTAACTCTCCAAAAACTTTAGTCAGACTTCATCAAACACAAAAAAACGAAACAAACTCAATAATTAACGAGAAAATAAATCATTCACATATAAGTAGCTTCTGCAATTCATAGCATAGTGTGGGAGCACTAAAAATCTTAGCGTCAGCTAAATAAAAAAAAAACTCTGAATTTAATAAATTCAAAAAAGCAGAACGCCATGTCACTCTGTACTCATGACGTCATATGGTGTTGTAGACAAATGTGCAGATATCGGTCTCTTAAAATAAACATAATAAAATACTTTTTTTAATATCTTACCTATACTCAAATTAAGTTGTGATACAGAAGTAGTTCCAATCGATTCAAGTATAATTTCCAGCTCCATTTTATTGTGGATACGGTTAGTAAGAATATCCAAGTTGCGAGACAAACTTTCAGAGGGGCATAATAATGAGCATGGTAAATCCTCATTTAGCCATGCAGCATGGAGTTTTCTTACAGCTGCTTGTAGCGTCTCAAAAATCCAAATCTTTTCTCCACTGCATTGTGAAAAAAAAAACATTAGACAAATGCACAATAAAGCGCAGCCAATCTGACTCACCGATATACAGTCTACATCATGTCAAATTTTACCAATTTATTTTAAACCTTAATACATCGAGTTTGAGAGTAGAGTTGATAATAAACTGTACAAATCTATACTAATGTTATCATCATCATCAACATCAGCCCTTTTACGTCCCCACTGCAGGGGCTCAGGCCTTCCTTATGGATGGTTAAGGAGGATGGGCCATGACCCTCTACGCTGGCCCAATGCTTAACGACTGCAAATGCAGCCGGGACTAACGGTTTAACAGCTATACTAATTTTTTGGTCACCCATCCCGTGACCGACCCTTGCGAAAGTTGCTTAACGACAACGATCGCGGGCCGCGGCGCTCATCCACTACGCCACCGATCTACTTATTCTACTATTATAAAGAGGATGTATTGGACCCAAAACTACTGGTCCGATTTTGAAAATTCTTTCACCTACGGGAAGTTACTATGCGATGAACATAGACTATGTGACGACTGATACATAGCGACATCTAATTCATCGCAGTAACATCGCCACAACAATTGATAGTGAGAAGACTAGCATCGTCGCAGCCATCGATAGAAAGACAAACTGCAATAAGTTTCAACAGCAAGTAACGAGATGGCGTTGTACCAATACAAACAGCATAAATTAATAACTACAGGACATTTAGAACAAAGAAACCTACATCACACAAAATAAGTTTCATTACCAATTAACATAAATAGAACGTCCAACCTACATCGGTTGGACCGCGGTCCCCGGGCTAACAACACCTAGCTCGGAGGGAGACAATTATCCTTTAGTCTCCCTGGCCAGTTGTCTCCATCACCACAGTAGGGACCACACATTCAACCTTACGGTTCCTAAAACTATATTTTATCCCGAAAAATAGCAAATAAAGTGATGAAAATGGTAGTTGAAACTAAAACTTTACCATAACAATAATTGTTTACTATTAATTTGTAATTGTAACCAATCAGAGTGATTGAAGTAACGCCTCTGTCTGCTGACATGGGTCTCGCAGTAAATTTAACAACTAGAAAAAAAGACGCGAGGAGTAGTCGAACTACTACTTGATTATTCTATGTTGCGTCGTTAACATGCCCCACCCCAGTGCGCTTAGCAGCACTCAGCTGTCAATGGATTTCTCTAGCGACGCGAACGGCAGACAATGACATTCGGCCATCCTTTCCAGGACATATCCTTTATATTAGATTGTTTGGCCACATATTTTTAGGTTCATTTGGCGAGTCCACGTGGAATACCACTTTCAAGGGTCACCGTTCTTGATTCCATTTTATTCGAGGTAACAATAACTCAGACGATTTTGCTGCTACATCAAACACCATACGCCGTTTCTTTGTTTGGATTATAAACTTTGAAGTGAGACGTCTTTGGTGTAGTTTTATTGTTAATAATCTTTTTTATGTAATCATTTTGTGACAAGTGTTGCATGCGTTCATGATACCATGCTGCATATTCTTCATTCTTTTTCATTTTTAGTTCGACACATTTTAAACAAATCATAGCCATCGATGATGAATCAGGCAATACACAGTTTTTATCTCTCCAGGGTAAACCCACTTGTCATCTTCCATTGAAGAGTGTGGGTATTTCTTTTAGGCAGTTCCAAGCGAGCTGATCATCTGAATTCTGCACGGCAGAATTTGTTGTAGCAGAAACTCTCATAACTTCAATGGAAAAATAGCATTGCAATCTTCATTACGTTCGCTGCCCACGGAAGTATCGGCGGAGTCACTTCCCTGGGCAGCGAACCTCGAATGCACCTTCTAAATAGCTGTAGACTCTTCATAGCCATTATTTAATGATAGCCACTCCATGGGGTTATCGATAAATACAAAGAGCTCTCTCGGTATACTACTGCGGATGAGCAAGTTAGCGTTATGTCTAGTGGATGCAGAAGTGTTAACTAAATCCTTTAGTGAACTGACTAACTGCTGATGTGGACCATCAGTGCCATCGATATGCGGCGACGGAAATCCTTGAGCCTTTTATTGTTCTAGAATTGTTCGCTCCTTGTTTCTCCAGCTCATTTTGGCTGCGCTCAGCCACTTAATCCACAATATCCAGATCGTTACTTTGACTATTGCACTCCGATGCGTTTGGACTGTAATTATCATCAATAGCAGCTAGATCTGCCGCCAACTTCTAATTAATAAGGTCAATTTCTATACAAGCCTTTTCCTACGCAGCTTCTAATTCAAGCTTCTTTTTTGGGCCAAATTAGCGAACGATTTGTTTTTCACTTTTAATGATTTTAACGAGGATTGAACTGTAGCTGTTTTATTTTCGACCTTCATGTTACCAGCACCATATTTTTCCATTTTTGGCTGGACTTTCGTTCTTTCAACTTTCTTTCCGTACGGTACTGCTAGTGTTGACAATTATTTTGTTGCGCGACGGCGTGTGGAACATTGAAAGATCCTGCTCGAAGACTACCACTTTATAGCCGACGCGGGTCTCGCAGTAAATTTAAGTACGAATTACAAAGAAAACGACGTAGTTTTGAAGGGAAAAAAAAGACGCGAGACGTAGTTCGACCTCATGATATGCAAACTCTATGTTATATTTTTTTTTTTCATTATATACTCGCGTCGTTAACAGCCTAAAAGTGTGAATAAAAGAGGACATATAATCCCTTATAATTTACGCCTTCTTTCATTATAATCGGTATAATATCAAAATTTTAAAGAAAACGGCGAAAAAATCTCAAGAGAAATATTCATTTTTACACTGCGTAAGAGCTATACAAGTTACTAAAAATAAAAGATGTGAGGCATGCCTCGAACTCGTAACATTATGCAAACTGTTCTCGCTTCCTTAAACGTTTAATTACAGTACAAGAATTCAGCCGATTTAAAAATTGTAAGCGACGCGCTCATTAACATATTTTGTTCCACCTTGTCAATGTTAAAAATGTTGGTGGGTAGTAAAATAATAAATCGCGGCTCAGTGGTCTGCACTCATTCGCGCTAGTAACAAGTCCTATATTTCGCTCATACTGCTATAACCGCTGTAAAGTGTAATAAACCATTTTTAAGTATATTTCTTCGTATCACTCCGTACTGCGGGCCCTATAAGTTGCAAAAATTAATACATTATATACGTACTTTTGTAGCACCAGTTTCCGATTTTTTTCCAATTTGAACTGTCTCAAATATATTTTGAGTTCATCAGAAAACTTTGGAGATTTGTTTTCTGAAAATAAAAACATCCAAAATCAAAATAAATTGAAAAAGTCATTTCATTGCATTTATAAGTAACTAAAATCCAGTATTATAATAACAAATTGCATCTATTTTTAACTAATAGACGAAGATTAAATGAAACAAGAAGTGTTAATAGCTAATATAACAGTATTCTTACTGTTAACAACCCAACCCAACCCAACCACGACCTAAAACCAAAACTCCGGCCCATAAGGTCGCTTCATCGTATGAGCCGGGAGTATTTTCGCACAATCGTGTGTACAATAACTGGAGATTGCTCACTCAACAAACACTTCCACGCTATAGTTCGTTTCACCCGTTTCACATAGTAACGAGTGCGGTGAAGTTTGATAACAAGTAATTAAAATCTTTCGTTATAAAAAATAGTTTCGACTTCTATATAATAGATATTTATTTAAATTTTCATATTACAACACAGATCATTTTTATTAGCCACAATTACTAAAACCTAACCCTTTAAAGTTTAAAACATCAGTTCTTGTAACAAAAATTGGAAGTTTTTTTAAAAATAGGAATTGAATTAATAATATCGTTTTAATGGAAATATGTATTTGGTAATCATTTGTCATTTTTTTATTATTTTTGTCGTAATAGTTAATGAAATGAAATGAAAATGTCTTTATTCAAGTAAGCTTGTTTCAAGTAATTTAGAATCCTCCTAAAAATTTTTTTTCCCCTACCTCGTTCGGGACGTCTTTTAGCTGACAAGAAGAAAAAGTGAAAGAAATTTACCAGCTCTTTATCATAAGTAATGAGATTTACATAAATCGTGTCATAGCCATAATAGTTCGTATTATAACAATAATAAATAGAATTATCAGTCTGTAGAACATAGGTTGGTACATATAATTAGTTGTTATAGAATTATAATTATTAATTCAAAATAATCATCAACTTTATAATAACCTTTACTCATAAGTATGTTCTTTACATTAATTTTAAATTTATTTACGGGTAGGTCAATTACATTTTGTGTAACTTTATTGAACATAGCAATGCATTTACCCAGAAATTATCCTCTGGTTTTTTGTAGTCTGAAGCTTGGAACAGCAAAATTAATTTTCTTTCTTGTGTTAACATTATTAACACTACTTTTTTGTGAAGGAATCGTAATGTTTTAAATTATTATTATCACACCACTGTAGAACATTGTCGAGAGCATCATTGACATTGTCAAAACAATCATTAACCCTCTTAAATTTAAACATCAAAGAGGTGTCTTCTGCAAATAATACTGTCTCGCAAAAATTCTTCGTAAAGTGAGGAAAATCATTAATGTTAATTAGAAAAAGCAATGGTCCTAATACCGATCCCCGAGGTACGCCTATAGTAATGGGTGTCCCTGTAGATTTCGTTTCATGGATTACTACTTTTTGAATTCTAACAGAAAGATATGAAACAGTCACAAGTATTATTTCATACAGCGCATAAAACCCTTATCTTAAGTGTTATTCTGTTTCCTTGTTATTTACTCGACTGTAGGTACGGGTGTTACACTTACCCAGATCTTCCGAGTACGAATTTTCCGACGTATCTAGATCTAAGCTGAGTTGCATTTTGTTCATTCGTGCTTCGCGCCGCTCCTCGTAGAACTGACGAAGTACCGTCAGAGAATCTTGTGGTAAGTCCACTTGACCTAATGTGGATATACAGGGTGTAGCATTAAGAACGGTTAGTATGGGAAAGTGACTCGTATCCTATAATAGAGAGGAATAATTACTTGAAAATATTTTTTTTACTTAAGCAGATATTTTTACCAATTTACCAAGAAATTTAATGAAGTATAAACTATTATTTTTATTAGCTATTAACAGTTTTTACTTTTCCAACATGACATTCTAGTCTATTGTTCAAAAATATTTGCTTAAATTATGATATTTTCTCAAGTTTTATTTAGCTCGTCTAAATACGAGCGTGAAACTATAAGGACATAGGAAGATTTGTGTTTAGGAATGATTTCATCAACTTTAGTTAAAAGAAGATCTGCATTCATATAACAAAAATTTGTTCTCAGATCGGGAATAGAACCCAGACGTTTTTAAAAATACAACATACATTATTTCTAGTTAGTAACACTTTCGTCGAAGTTAAGATCCACAGCACTGTTGGACTGACTTGAAGAGGAATCTTAATTCCGAGTGCAACGGCTCAAAATGCTATGTGACTGATTCTTGTCGCGGACAATTTAAATTAATGATTTTTATTCCTTTATTAATTAATATTTTAGAGGAATAGTAATCTACTAGTGGTTTAATTTGAGAATAATATAATTTTTAAATACTTTTTCCCAAGACAATCAAGTAGCCAATTCCGATCATTTACCAAAATATGAACAATAAACTTTGTGGACACGCAAAGATAATGTTTTTTTTCTGGACTCTAGGGCTCCGCGGAGCACATTTTGATAAACGATGGTCTAGATACGTACCACCGTACCACCGTAATTTTAAAACTGATATTATGTCTACTGTGCTAAGGGTTACTGACCTTTGTATCTGTCTTGCTGCATATGCGAAGATTCCTTCTGGAAACCATTAAAGATCGCAGTCAAACAATCGCGTACGTTCTGTATCTTTTTCTCTGTCGTAGCCAATGACGTCACCAACTTTTGCAAATCATCTCTCTTGCTCTCCTGAATAAAATCAAGGCGTGTTTGTCATTTATACTAAAAATCACATTATGTAAATATATTTTTGTACTATGCTCATTCTGGAAGAATACTAACCTCAAAGATATTAGGAACTCTATTCAGCTCGGAAACCGATGCAATGCTTTTTATAGACATTTGCAGTTATATTTATTATTTTTATTGAAATAAGATATTAAATATGTGCTTAAAATTATAAATTGTTTATTGCTTATGGAGTAAGTAATACACACAAAATACATGTATACGTAACATACATTTAGCCATCTTCGAATATTTTTGGTTTAAAATAAGTTTTTAATTCTATATTCCATCAATATTATTAAAAAAAAAATCTAGACCCCTTATAAAGTATACGACTGTATATCTCATTCCATTTTTTTATTTAATCTGTTTAGACCAGAAGCTCAATAATGTCATAGCACATTTTTTGCATTTAGAGTTTAATTTAAAAAAGTTAATACACTTTTAAAAAAGCAATGCCGCCACTAAACATAGTACACACCCTGACACCATAAATTAACGTAAAATACCAATAATAATTTGCAATAAAAATTGATTGAAAATCGGCTTTAAATTTATATTTGAGAAACCAAACCGTAGAAAAGTGAACTTAAAAAAAAATCTTGTATTTGTTACTACTTACAATTGATTTGTCTATGGCGGCTATCTGTTTGACGGTCGAGTGTCTATCGTCTATGTTTTCTTGACTTCCCGCGTTGAATATTCCGGTGCGTGACGTCACTTCCGCTAGTAGATTGCGCAGAGTATTTACTCGCGCGGATGCACGAGCGCGTTCACATTGCAACACTAATAATTCACAGGCTTCACCAGACATATAGTTCTGTGGGCAGTATATTTTAAAAAATTAAAAAAGTAAAAGACATTGTCTTTGTTCTATTTGTAATATCAGACCAAACACACTGACCACTCCAACTCCATCGACAAATATTATAAAGATATTTGTACCTGGAATAAAGAGGAAAGATTTGATTGTTTGTTTGTTTGCATCAAATAGGCTCCGAAACTATTGAAACGTAATAAAAAACTACCTACGGGAAGTTACATCATATACATGTGATATAGGCTATAATAAACGCTTCGCCTGCGTTAATAAACAGCTTGTGTATGTAAAAAACGTCATAATTACATTTAATTCGGAGACGGCATCCGCGAGTTTTTTCTGCGTTTGCTTGATGTTCTCACGATTCTTCAATGCTTCCAGTGCGAGGGTACAATGCAAACCGGCTGTCTCAGACAACACATGTCCCGGTCTCATCCTAAGTCAACAACAGTCAACAGCGCGTCAAGCTATAACAAGAGACCTTTCTCCAAAATCTGTCGATACTTAAATAGCTGAATTGGCTATTTAACTGTTTTGAGGAAAGTATTTTAAAACTTTTATATCATAATATTAAATCAATCAGGTTTCTTTACTCTCCAAAAAGTGTTATTAAATAAAGGCCCAACATCAGTCATATGGCATTTCGAGTTGTGACGTCAAATATCTTTATTGAAATATGACATCATATGATGCTCTGTTAAGGCCAGCCGCATTTCGGTTCTTGTGATCCACATTTTAAATCGCAAATACTCACAATTTATTTTAAAACAAAAATACATAACACATAGCCATTGTTTACATATATAATTTCCAACATAATTCATAATTTATTGTTATAACTGACAACTAGCCCGTTTGGTTAAGCAGTTATATGGCTTACGGAGCAGGACATCACTGTTTTAGAGTACAAATTTGTTGGCAATGTTTAATATAGGGGTTCTAGAATATTTACCCAACATTGGCAGGTTTGTCTTCGACAGTATCCTTAGTGAGCGATGTCACGAGTCCCACTCGCCGCTCGTACAATTGTGTCCAAAGCGCTTCGCCGCGACATTTAGTAAGCCAAGACTGTAGCTCTTCTGGAAATTTAAATATAAATCTCTATTTTATTGTATTTTCATTTCATAAATAACAATACATTTATCAATACGGCGTCGAATACAGCTTCAGTCGAATAAAAAATACATCTAAATGCTGTGTATACGCACACTATATTTTGTTATGAATAGTACTGCATTTTTGATTCTAACATGAATCATAACTACTCGAAACTTAAATTTAAAAAAAGTCTTCATTTTTTTATTTTGTGTCCCGCGATAATAACCAGTCGTTTGACATTTCCAACCGTGACGTCACATTTCAATTAACGTGAATACTCTTTGAACTCACAAGAAAGACGTTGACAGTCAGTTTATTGAAATGTGACGTCACACGATGTTCCGTCATGCCCGTCCCTGTTTCAGTTTTTGTAATGCATAGAAAATATATATTTACAACTAGATTAAAAATAAAAAATATTACATAATTATTGCTTACATACTATTTCCACCATATTTCATAACTTATTGTTATAACTGTAAGGTGTGAATTAAAATAATGCATGTTATGCTAACTAACCAGAGTAGCTGATGTCTCCATTGGTGGACCCAACAGTGGAGCTTGCGGAGGGATTCGCGGCAACCATAGATACTTGAGCGGGTGACCGGCGCAACGAAGACAAGTACTTATCTACTTTATTCTGAAAAGTATTCGGATCAAAGGACCAAGTGCAATATGATATCATATTATGTATGTACATTTATGCGCCGAATATTCGTTTGGTATTCGGCGGCTTTGGCAATTTCTTCACTATTTGTGTTCGGCCGAATTATTCGGTTAGGTGCCGAATATATTTGGTTCGAGTAGTTATATTTTCTTGGCACAGTATAGTACTAAAAAACAAAACTTCTTATCTAAGATTTATGTTTTATTATAAGTTAAAGAAATCTTATCGGGGTCGAGGGACTCACGAGGGTTTAGCCCAGGTGAACTCCCTTTCATAGACGAGTTAGGGTGAGAGATCCACAGTTGCGCATCTCTTGCCTTTGACGAGGGACTGTCTAGCGGGTCAGCGCGGTCGCTAGGCATTGCACGCCCTTTGTCCTGTCTGGGGGGTTGGACTCGAATGTTCCTGAGCCCTTCACCTAACCCGAGACGGGACGTATCCTGTAAAAGGGTCGAGCGGGGACCGCATACGCGGGAAGTGGTCCCGTTGGGGACCGTTACCGTGCGTCGTTCTCCCACAGTGAGGGACATCGCTGAGTCTTAGTGGGAAGGCCCCTGCTTTTTGACCAGCCCCCACTCTGGGGGTTGATCCGCAGGGGAGAGCCCCACATAGCCCGTGAGGCTCGCGCAGGGTGAAGCGGTTATGCGCAACGCATTTCTCAGCGAAAAAAAAAGTTAAAGAAATCTTGTGCGTTTGATAAAGCTAATAATATAAAGAAATTAAACTTCAAATCAACATTTGTTTTTAAACCTTTTTATGTAGCAAATCAGTGAAATGGTAAACAAAATAATTCTGCCGAATATTCGATTTAACTTTTACTAAACTGGTAACAGTTAAACCGAATAATATTTTGTATTGTATTCGCTTAAGCAGTAAAACCAGTGAAACTATTCGGCGCATCTCTAAACTAAATATTAGACCCTTACATATGAAATTGGCGTTTTATCGTACTGGCTACTTTAATCACAAATTTCTCCTCCTTGGTTGGGAATTCCAAATTCAAATTTGTACAGCCATTTACACATGTATTTGTGTTTCGTTAGGTGGTATTCATTTGTTTTTTTTTTTCTTCTGTTAAAAAATGGAAAACTTAAAATATCGTGTTATTTACGAGTCTAATGTCTAAGACATCCACCATACTCCCCGGACCTTGCTCCAACAGATTACCATTTTTTTCGAAATTTGGATAACTTCTTGCAAGGGAAAAAAAATCAACTCCAATGGGGCAGTGCATATCGCACTGCCCCATTGGAGTTGATTTTTTACATACTTATTGTTATTTTTTTTTTTTTATTACATTCCAAAAAATCTATATTACTTTCAAAATGACTTTTAGAACAGCCTTAACTCTGAATCTCAAGAACTAAATGGATACATACTTGGATGTCAATGTCCTCATTAATCAAACAGAGTGAGTTTGCTATGGTCCTAGTCTCTTCTAGATTTTCTTTCTTCACTTTTAAGTCTTCCGTAATTTGTTGCAATAACCACACACGACGCTGTAAATCTTGTAGTTTTTTGCGAGACAGGTTGCGTTGGGATACTGGAACAATTATAAGAATGTTTCACTTAATGTATCAACAAAACATAAGAAACTGGCTGTTTACCCGTGATTTCGCCTGTGTAAATCATAGATGTAGCTTGCCCACATATGATGTAGCTTGCCGTAGGTGAAAGAAATTTTAAAATCCTTTGAATAACTACTCCATAATATTAGTATAGACTTAGTCACACACAGCTGAATATTCATTACAACAATCTCCATCAGCATGCAACCCTTATTTAACACATATGGTATTGAGATATTAGTTTCGCTATGTAAATATTTTTGATGTAATTAGGTACTTGGTAATTTTTAATATTCAAGTCATTTATCAGTTCTCTCAGTATGAAATAAGATAAAAAGCAGCCCTTGCTGAGTACGTTACCAGTTCTTGTCAGGGCTTGAAACCGGTTCAGAATAAACCGTTAAACCTGTTCTCTTATAATGTTCCGTTCCGGATCGGAACTAAATGCGGAGTGAAATTCGGATGGAATAAAAACCGGTTAATTTGCTTGGTTCGTAAAAAGCAATGTTCCTAGGCGTTTAATGCGATTTATATCATTTTTAAGCCACGACATTTATCATACCTGTATACGGATGTTATAGATATGCACTTAAAAACCGCGCTGAAGTTTGTGAGATCATTGTTTGGAGACATATTTAAACCGGTTAATGAAGTAAAACGTATTTCTAGTGAACCGGTTTAAAAACCTGTTCAAAGGAGCTGAACCTTTTATGAAAAGTTTCGCATGTACTTACGTCGAACCTGTTCAAAAAATTTACCGGTTTCCAAGCCCTGGTTCTTGTCAGTACAAACCTCCTGCTGTGGATTTGCAAACCAATGGCATAGATTTTTATTTAACGTTTGTAACAATCTAGACTGAACCGTACATATTTTAACAATAGGGGATTGAAGAACTTCCATAAAACTTTTAAATTAATAAATGGATACTTAATTTATGTGATGGTTTATAGTTAAAACTTTTTTTAGCATCATATTAAAATTGGATTACCTTTATACAAAAAGTCAGAATTCCAAATGAAACTAGAACTTTCACATCTACATAAAATATGGTATAACTCTCCAAGTACAATTTTAAACATGTTCGCTGCATAAATCAGAATAATCTACTACTCTCTGTGGAAGATGACCAGTATGTACAAAAGACCAAAGCCTTTTAAAAAAACAAATAGTGGTTTGGCTAGAAATTGTGTAGAAGTGACTGCATTATTTGCCAATCATATGAAAGAAGTGTTTCAACCTAAAGAAGCCTACAATATACCATTAGAAAATGATGATGATGAAGCTATTAACAGTGAACAGTGGACGTCTACCCTCTTGTTTTTAATGGAATGTTACGATTACAATATTTACCATTGCTTTAGAAGGTGTCTGTTCTAAACATGATCGCTAAGCCTGGTAAACCAGCTTCTGAAGTCAACTCATATAGATCGATAAGCCTTCTTCCAGTATTGTTTAAGTTGTTTGAGAAGCTTCTTTTGCAACGCTTTTGCCCAATACTTCAAGAATAAAATGTACTACCTGTTCACCAATTTGGCTTCAGAGCACACCATGGCACAATAGAACAAATACATTGGGTTGCCCATAACATAAGACAAGCTATGGAAAGGGAGGAGTATTGTTCTGCAGTATTTCTTGACTTTCGAGTACTTAGGAATGCACCTAGACAAACATCTAACTTGGAGAAACTCAATAAAAGCAAAGAGAGACCAAGCTAATCAAAAAATGAAGTAATGTATTGGTTAATCAGAAGAGAATCAGTACTGAGCTTGGAAAACCAAATTCTAATCTAAAAATCAATTATCAAACCTATTTGGTAATATGGAATAAAGCTCTGGAGTTCAGCTAGCCACTATAATGTTAAAATACTTCAATGATTCCAAAATGCTGTCCACAAGATCTTGTTTAAGGGACCTTGCTTTAAAATGAATTCTGAAGTTTACGAATATCTGCAGATGCCATAAATCAAGGACAATATGTTGCAAAACTTACATAAAATGATTGAAGTTCATAAAAATCATTTAGCTATGGCACTGCTTAACAGCAATGATAGTGTAACATGTGGTATATCAGTTTGGTTTGAATGAGGGGAAGGTGCATCACAAGAAGTGCCAAACTCCAATAACAATGATAGATGTCAATGCATCTGATTAAAGCTTAAAGGCAGATTGCAGATGAAGGAAAAAAAAAACAAAAAAAGTCATAAAACATGGGTATTACAGAAATATACTTCTTTAAGTGAATCTTGAAATTCACCTGAAAAAAGTTGTAGTCTTATCCTAGTTTCAATATAATACTTACACTTAGTAGATATTTTATCCATTAACTGGTTCAGATTTTTTTGTGCCTCTTCTCTTCTAACTTCTGCATTACTAACTTTCTCTTTGATGTCTTTATGTTGTTGCCAGAGAGCTAACTGATTTGGTATCAATACATCAGAATGTTGTTGGTACTGCATCATTGTAAAATAAACAAGTTTATTTAAAAAAAAAACTACAGATTAACAATAACCTTTTAACTTTATATAAACTTTTAGGTCAGGTTAATTTGAATAGCGCATACCTTGTACGTATTTTTTCTTTTCCACATACGCATATCATCACAAAATACCTGCAGTCTTTTCTGTCTAATAATATTCTTAGGTTCTACATGTTCCATTACACTGCGCCATACCATATAATATTGACCTCTACACATTCTAAAATTAAAGTATCTGTATTAGACGTGAACACTATCAAAAACAACATAAAATAGGAATTCCATTCTTGACATACTGTGCGATTTTGTCCAGTGAAGGAACCTTTTCAGATGGGCAACCCATATTCAGAAGCCATTCTGTAAATTTTACAGGTACTTCATCACAGCTTAATTTATTTTCAGCCATTTTTCTTTAGATTAAAAGATTTCTATCTTTTATTATGAGCTCTTGTTTTAGTAGAAAGAAATAGCCAGAGCCAAAGTTCAAAACAATGAAAATTTTAAATTTTTTGACAGTTACGATTTTTAGGGATGTCCATTTAAATTTTACACGAATAAAACGTTATAATCAGCGATGGACGTTATTCAATAGTGATTCAGCTATACAATAACTACCTATTTTCCACGTTGCTTAAAAGTAAAGCTGAATTCACATTTGAATAAACTAGAAAAGTAGTTTTGGCGTATTTAAAAAGTTAGAATCACCTGCTATTTACAATAATTATAATGATTGTCCACTTAATTAATTAATTATTATTTACTTACATAAACATTCTTTAATTGAGCTTCAAAATATCCCCCTTCGTTGTTTTTTAGTGAGATGAGTATGCTTCTCTGACGCTTTAATTCATCAAAAGCGTCAATTATAGGTATGCTGTTTTAAAAGACTTACACTGTCCGATTCGCTAACGTATACTTAACGTTTTATTTCACACTATAAATAAAAGTTCATCGGAGTTATACTTTATTCATTATAACATTAGAAAAAAGAGGGTCATAGAAGGAGCAGTGCAAAACGTTTTATTTCAAAGATGAATTTAAAAAATATATATTATATAGTTTTGTTGAAACTTTGAACGTTAGGTAGTCTGAAAGAGCTGGGCAATTTTCCATTTTTTTCGAAACCTCGGGGTTGAGATGAGGCCGGCATTTTCTTGATTGATCTTTCACTCTCAAGCCAACATGGAACTAAAAGTATTTATCTGTTGTTTTGATAAATTCTAATTGTAAGTGCATATAATTAGAATAGAATTTAGTTATATCTATGCCTAGGAAAGAAAGGTAAACAAAATGAATTTGTTATTATAACATTTATTCAGACATTAGTTAGACTATAGATGAAGACATTAGAAAAACTTCTGAAATGTCAAAGGTTGAAGGTAGGTATGGGGGATTAAAGTTTAATTATTGTAGGCCACTCGGGCCTGCACCGGCATCGTCGATATTTAACAAAACTTAACAACAAAAACAAAACTATAACAAAATAAAAATAAAACAATAACAACTTAATCACGGAAAATGGAAAAACAAAAAGAATCACAGTAACATTCACAACGGATGACAATCACATATTTATACACACAGATTATACACAGATTACATATTTTAACAAATATGAATACATTATAGTCTGACAAAATTAAAAACCTGTACTGCCGAAACGTTTGAAGGGATGAGGCGACGTTTTAAATTTGGTAGAGTTATAGTGACATGAGAATCATGCCGAAACTATCCAACCCTGCTTCTTTAAGTTCTTTAAGATGCACACTTTTTATTGTAATAGTTATTAAATCATTTAAGTTGGTCAAATACTCATAAATTTGTTTAATAGATAGCTTAAATGAGAACAGTTAAGTATAGCAGTTGTTATTTAAGTGGATATGTAGCAAATTAGCCGTCAGTCTTAAGAGTAACATGATTATTTATATTTTATCACAAAGTATACCATTAAAAAAACCTTATTTAACTTCTGTCTAATGCTATAATAAATGGAGTATAGGACGGATGAACTTGGCGGCCATGCAACGAGTCCACCATGATCAATCCACCTTTGTGCGAAATCTGCATAAAAAACTGCGCACTGCGGTGTGATAATGTGGTGGAGTGCTGTCTTGCTGGAAACACAAATCTTGTAAGGATTGACGATGTACGTCGGGTATAAAAGAAACTGTTTCTTAAACCAGCGTGAGATATCTTTCTCTTGTTAGTCGCCCTTCTAAGTAAAGTACGGCCCTATGATGTTGTCATTAAGGATGCCTGACCAAACATTTACGCTGGATCTATGTTGGAACGAGTTTTCTTTCGTCAGCATTGGGTTTCGGATGGACAACCAATGCTCTACTTGATGACGGAGACAACTGGCAAGGAAGACTGAAGGATAATTCTCACCATCCGAGCCAAGTGTAGTTAGCCCGGGGCCGCGGTCCCACCAATGTAGATTGCACGTTCTTTTTGTGCTAATTGGTAATGAAACTAATTGTGGGTTCTTCTAAATGCCTTGTAATATTTAAATGTATACTGTTTATATTGGTACAGCGCCATCTCGTTACTGGGTGTTGAAACTTCTTGTAGTTCGATTTGCTATCGATTGCTGTGACGATGCTAGTCTTCTCGATATCAACATTTGTCAAAGTTCATAAAACATCAAACAAAAGTTTAATTTTACGTATTTTCAAAAAATCGCGCCTCGGAAACTAACTGACTCCGCACTTTGATACTTTGGAAAATGAAACTTCTTTAGCATGAAAACAAATATCAACACAATCTGCGTACTCGCCGATACTAAAGCTAAACGCTCATTTTCACCACAGATAAAACAAACACGTAACATAGCCGCGTACTCCCGATTCGTAAACTGATAAGACATTTTTGCAATATTAATAGCGTACACGCACAAACGTCCATTCAAAATTAAAGCAACATTACACACACAAATTTGACATTCTAAGAAGCTTAAAGACGTCATCAAACGTAAGTATTGCATGCACTAGAGGACGGATAGGGTGTCAGGTGGGGTGTGATTCTGCCGGCCGAATAGAGAGCCGGCCGTCCCCGTTTCGCACTGCCATCCGCGTCATCCTTTAAGCTTAGATGCGAGTTTGTATTGCGAATTATGAATGAAAACATTATCTACTTTCATGAACGAATAATGCGTACGCACGCGGCTTGCTGTCTAACTGATTTTCGTGTTTACCAATATTTATTTCCTTTAGAAACGATTTCAAGATTATGTTTTTTTTTTTAATTTTGCTGCTTAATAAAATTATTTGAATCATAAATAAAAAAATGAAAATTAGAAAGTAGTTAATGATTGTTTTGATAATGTAAATGATGCTCTCGACAATGTTCTACAGTGGTGTGATAATAATATTTTAAAACATTACGATTCCTTCACAAAAAAGTAGTGTTCGTAATGTTAACACAAGAAATAAATATAAACTTGCCCTTCCAAGCTTCAGACTTTAAAAAATCAGAGGATCATTTCTGGGTAAATGTATTGCTATGTTCAATAAAGTTCCACAAAATGTAATTGACCTACCTATAAATAAATTTCAAATTCATGTAAAGAATATACTTATGAGTAAAGGCTATTATAAAGTTGATGATTATTTTAAGGACCGCAATGCACAGAATTAATAGCCTTCGCTCTGTTCTATAACGATTAATTATAGGTTTGTACCAACTTATGTCCTACAGACTTTGAAAGTTGTATTTATTATTATTCAATATATGTATTATTTTGGTAATGACATGATTTATGTTAATGTTATTACTTATGATAAAAAGCTGGTAAGTTTCTTTCGCTTGTTCTTCTTGTCAATTAAAAGACGTCCTAAACAAGTGGTAGGGGAAAAAATATTTTTGGACGATTCAAAAGTACTTGTAACAAGCTTACATGAATAAAACAATTTCAACATTACTTGAATAAAACATTTTCGTTTCATTTCATTTCATGATGAACTTGAGAGCGTTTTGTTATACACCCAAATGTCACTTTTTCGGGCTTTTCGACTTTGTCATGCTATGCGTGTTTTTCAGGTCTTTTTATATTGATCGATTGGATTGGGAATAATACAATATTATGAAGTTAAGCACAGATTATTATTTATAAAACTACTACAAATCAAAGAAAAAGTCATGGTTAGAAAATAATGTCACTAATATATCACTGGGCAAGTTCATCCCATCGTAGATCTTATTTATGTCCTTGGGTTAGATTGAGGACAAGAGTGAGCCGATTATAAATTTAAAAAAATGTGATGATATGAAGATGCTGATAAATGTTAAAATTAAATAGGCGAAGAAGAAATACATAAATAAACCTGAATCGTTCCATAAAACTCATAAAACATTAACCCGTTCCCTCAATCTTGAATATATTGACTAAGTATCCAGGTCGCCTTTTCATTCTAAACTAAATGACTATTCTGTTGCGTGAGGTGTAACTATCTGTGCTCGTGCCTCGTGCTTGAAGCCTCAAAAAAGTAAGGACCTAAATGGCCAAAGAAAACTTGACAGTTTCGTGTTTATTTTATGACGAAAACACTTTTCATTCATTTCATTTTCATTTTACACGTAAAAAATTAATTTATTTACTTGACATTGGTGGAATTGTGTGAAATGCGCAGATAAGCCATTAATTAAAAAAAGAAGATCTGTTTTTTTTCACTTGAAAAATGTTTGGCAACCTGAAAGAATTCATTTCTGTAGTACAAGATGGACTAGCTTCAAACAGCAATTTAAGGCAAACACTACAAGAAGTGCAAAAAGTAAAAAACATTTTTAAAGACAAGCAAAAGGTGTCTAGTGAAGCAAAGGTGAACTACGGGGCTGGTGGTGCATTACTCGAGAAATACCAAGAAGACTGGGCCGAACTCCATGGAAATGCCGATAAAAATGCAAAAGCTGCCGACGAAGTGGACAGATTAATTTTAGAGCTACATGATACCACAAAAGCGAAACTACAATCTGCAAATGAATTAGGTCAATGTTTATCTCATTTACCAAATCTAACTGCTGCAGTAGCACAATGCATGGATAGCCTTAAAAACGTCCAATCTTTGTTAAAAACTGTAGAAGATGAATTAGTGGAGTTTGAAGATATTATTGAGAGAAGTAAAATGGAAAGTTGGAAGTTGGACCATCATTATCAGTTAACTTTGTACAAAGAGAAGAAAATGGGTAAGTTTCTAGAGTATTTGATTGGAGAGCAGATTAAAATTCGAATTTTAGACATCCTAGGCAAATCACATGGACACTTCTTCCTTTTGTATACAATGAAAAAGTAGATTCCTTTTAGTTTTTTTAGATTCTGCACCACCTCATCCTACACATGTCTTGCCAGTTTAATCCAATTTTTGAACAGGGCTAGTTTATTTTGTTCCATGATATCTAGTGACCTAATTAAGCATAATTTTTTTTGTGAATTCCTGTGCTAAAGGTGCTATAGTTTAGAAGTTCCATTTGATGACCTAGCATGCCACATGGTGAGTTATATTTGAAAATATATACAACTAAACCATCAGCAATTAGTCTCGACAAGCTAACCCATAAGATACTGATAAGACAAATCAATTTCAAAATCAAAGAGGGGTATGTTGCTGGACCATTGCCATTGGTTTATCAAATATGTATTTTTCAATTCAAAAATTGTTTAGCATAACTGTCAGTATTGTCTAAGATAATCTTTGCATGCATGGCTGCACTTTGGGTTACCACAATACATATTAATTGCCGCATCAAATTTGAATTCTACCATCAACATATTTATTGGAACCACAATACCCCATGCACATCAATAAGTCAATACGTATATGTTCCCACTTGCCAAAAAGAACTTTATTTTTTTAAGATATCTTATTGAGAAGATATAAAAAAGTATTGGTATCGTAAATCTTGCTTATTATTACAAAAAGTATTTATTACTTTTGAAATGTAAATTAAAATCTTTGCGGCCTGCATGAGTTGTAAAACAATCAAAACATTGCGTTGATAATGAAATATATTTTTCAGTTGCTTTAGAAAATATCCGAAGTGATCTAGTTAAGAAAAATACTCAGCAAAGTTATGAGAAGGAAAGACAACAGTTGGCAGAGATACAATCAAGAAGAGAGAATAGTGCATTAGCTTTTCAACATGACATGGCCAAGTACTTGACTAGTGGAAATGTGCCTCAAGGTAATTATTATGCAATAGGATGTTTGGCGACCATGGTGCAGAAGCCTCCAAATACTGATGCTCTTAGAGAAACAGTTTTAGGTGATAACTGAAAAACTCATATGAAAAAAATACCCAAACCTCTTTTCTATACTTTAAATCTGAAAAGAGGTGGATGTAAAGCTTCACTTAGATTCCCAGTATTACTTAGTATTCGTATTAATATTACTTGTAATCCGGACGATTGCTCTCAGACTGAAGTCTCATCAAAGGGTACCTGGGTAGGTGAAATTTTTAAGAATATTATCAGACTAGAATTGTGTCTGCAAAATTAATGAATATGCTATTTGTAATCTTTAGGCTTGTATCCTATGAATGAAATACAGGTTTCTGTGATATGTTCACATAATATGAACCATTTTGACTTATAAATATTTAACAATATTTTGTTAATTTTATAATTCTTATTTGGAAAATATTGTCCTTTGAGAACTTAAAAAAAGATAGGAAAATATATTGCCAAAATTTGCTAAAACACATGGTTCTAAATTACTTACATAAAATGCAACAACTTTCATTGTGATAGCTGTAAACATAAACGCACAAATAAATATATTACAAAGATTGCCCAGGCGCCCATATGTTTTTCACTACCGTAGCATTGTCTGACATTACTTAGTGCCTAGCGTTTCTGACCGACAAGCAAAAGTTCCACAAACATCTCCGAAACAATTATTGCAGACATACTATTACTTCTACATTATTTCTCAGAAATTAATTGAATATTTATCCACAAAATAAAAGTAAAATTGTCAACTGGCCTATTTAAATATAAATGTCTATTTCAGGTTCAGCATCACCTAAAATAAGTTTAGAACAAGTTCAACTGGATGAAGACAGATCAGATTTGGAAAAGTTTCTAGATAGTTGATATTGTCGAATTAGCTATGATATTAATCTGAGCTTGTTATGTAAGTGTTAATTATGTTTACTATTTATCATTCCAAAGTTTTCAGCCAATATAAACATTGTTGATGTAACGGACTTGGTTTTTAATTTTGATTGATTTTAATTCCATGCAACTTATAAAATGAAAAAATAACAGCTTCGAGAAAGAAAATGTAGTATACAATTTATTTTTTGTTAAATACCTAATGAATTAAAATTTTGCTAAATTATTTTTTTGTGAACTGAATTTACTTATTTTTCTATAATAATAAATTTAAAAATACAAAAATATATATACAAATCGTTTATGACTAGTAAAAATAAGCACATTGCTAAATAGCTTTTTGTTACATAGGACATTGGCCGGTCACGTCACAGTTCGATACACACAATTACGGATCTCACATAAACCATATCCACCATAATATTTCTATCAAAAACTGATTCTGACCACTAAAAGTTGACATTGAATAGTCAAAAAATGATTTCACTTATGAGATTAACTTTAATATTATGATATCTCAGTAATTCTTCTATTATTCAACTTTCAGTGGTAAGAGTATTAGGTAAAGTGTAAAAATAAATGGTTAGCAATCCATCGGTTAATACACCACACTCCATTCTGGACACTGTTCCAAAATGCTATGTTTTCCTCATAATCGGATGGAGATCTCCGCCCCCATGCGCGGACATTTTGATTTTACTCCCAGCGTGGTTCTTGATACGTGGCGCAGCATCTTTTATCGCATCACTAGCATCCTCCATCTCTTCATCAGAAGAGAAATCTGAAACGCATGACGTCATGTGTCTCTTCTTCGGTGGCACCACGTGCAATGTCCACCGCATAGAACCTTTATGAGTTTTTTCGCGGGCTTCGTAATCTGTATCTGATGCCGCACGTTGCGAATCGTTCTTAATATTCCGCATTTTACTCGGTCTGTGTGTTTGTTCCTTTTTTTCCCCCCTCGGGGGGGTGTGGAAGTTTTTTAAATTTACAACACTCGACGTATGTCCCTTAGAGTTAAGGTCAGGAAAGTTTTGAGAATATATAACAACACTATCCACCATTTTATCCTTATGAAATTTTGCTGGTTGCTTTTTGTTTTTTGAATCGTCTGACACGGGTGAAGTTGTCGAAACGCCCTTTTCACCTGAATTGCCGCTACTACAACTAGTGTTACTGTTACTGGTACTATACTGTTCGACTGCTTGTTTTTCTAGTTCCCGAAATTTAGTATCTATACTTTCGTCAGATGCTTTGTACTGTTCCAAAGCTTCTTTCTCCAACTCTTCGAATTTATTATCCACATTAGGTGGCCTTATCCTCGCTGATGGCAAGACGATTTTCGGATTTAATTTCAGGATTCCCGGTGCCACAAGTTTCTGTGATAACCTTACACAACCAACGGACGTTAAATTCATCGGTGTTGGCGCACTCATACTGAGAACCGTGCTGTATAGACGTTTTTTTCTCAAGTTTGTATCTAAAGTTGCCGAACTCGTCGACGGTAACTGACCATCAGCTGCGATCTGTTCAGCTGTCTTAGGAATCTCTGTCTTATCTGCTGGTGGTGTGGATTTCTCTGGCGGCGGTTGACTGTTTTCATTGTTATTTTCGTTACTTACAATTTTTTCTTGAGGTTCAGTTTTAGTGATTTTTGGTTTAGATTCTGGAGGTTGAGATATAGAGGTGATTTGGAATCGTTCGAGTCTTGGTGATGGATGATCTTTAGGCCACCAGACACCGTAGCGGCGATCAGGACAGCGGCCCGGCCTTTGTCCTGTGGGGGCGTAACGACTGACGTTGGTTCCACGGTATGGCGGACACCGCGCAGCTGACGCTCGTATTGCCGCTTGCACACTTGCTGACAGTCGACTCATAGCACGCTGACAGTCCGTCAGCTGCGGTGGACGAGGCGGGTCAAAGTGAAACTGTAATAAGTAAATATTTTGGTAGTAAGATCATAGAGGAATCATCGCTTCGTAACAACTCAGACTGCAAACTTAAATATTACCAGGCCAGTTTCTAAAACTGCTTTTTTGATCATATATAAAAAAAAACTACCTAACATTAATATACCAATGCGTACTGGGCTTATATTGTGTGTTCGATTTTATTCCATCCATAGAAAAGGCTTATTTTTTAAACCCTCGCTGTGGGATGATCCGAGATCCTACAAAGAGCCCGTTGGATATCGGGCATATATAGGGGAGCCCCACTCTTGTGAGCTGGGGAACCTGACCACTGCATCCATAGGTAAGGCTTGTTCCCAGAAGTGAGGACAATAGGAGAATAATGACGATTGATGAACGGGATATGAGATAATATAGGACTAGTTCTGAGCTAGTTTAAGGGCTAGTCACCTTGCATGTCGGATCGCAAAACAACTGCGCTGGTACTTCCAAGCAGTAGGCTGGTGGGGGTGGAGCTAAAGCTTGCAGTCGCCTCGGTTGTCGTCGTCTCGCTCTGATTTTCCTCGGGATTGGTGGCGGGCTGGGTGCTCGGAGACGAGGTGGGGACCTGGGTGGGGGCACCGGGGCCCATAAAGGGCGCACGCTCTGCACACGCGCTGCCAGTAGCGCCTCTTCACCCGTGGCTCTCACCCCAGCCGAGTCCCAGCGCTCGCTAGCTGTCAATTGGTGATCGTTAATTTCTTTTCATACGACTAACTTAAGTTCATCGAAACTATCAACCTCTCCTTTGGTCAAATGGAAAGAAAAAGGTCGATAATGTCATAACCGAATAACGTATTTTGAAGTACATTCGCCAAGAATACAAGTTTTATTTTAATTAGACATTACATTCACGACTCAGAAATTCATAGTGTTGCTCATTTTGCGTCTTTCTGAGCAGGTGCTACGATGTTATCTTAGTGTTACAGCGAGCGAAGCGAAGAATAACGCATTGAAGGATATATGGTATATTTCTTTAGAGATACACAAGACAACATATTATACTTAATAAGAGAAAAAATGAAAGCAAAAACGCACAAATCATCGTCCATGAGCATTCTATACTGTCGCCGGCGACGGGGGATGTTCCGATCTGAGGAGTCGTCCACTAGTTTTCGGAACCAGTACTCCACCTATAAATTTGATTAAAATAGAAAAGAAACCTATCCAATATACTAGCAGATTCCTTCAAGTGTGTTAAAGAATCTATTAATCGATAATAGCACACATGGTTTGGCTTAAGCCCAGCGATTAACTTGTTATTTTGACGATTAAATCGTATGTTATATAATATATTTCATAAAAAGGCTACTAAACGCACAATATTTTTCGGTAACTAATGGCTGCTACATATTGACCGTAACAATGCACGAAAGATCAACCACTTTGTTCAATATTGCAGTTATATTCCGGGTATACATTTTTGGTATCGCTGATATTGTTAAAAACAATTCTGGGATAGCCAAGCAATAAGTTGCCGATACTAATTACAACCACTAATTGCCGAAAAATACTGCTCGTTTAGAAACCCCTTAACGTCAATATAAAAAAGCCAATGGCGGGCTGTCAACTTCAAAATGTTAGGTAGTGCCCGCGCGGTTTTAACCGTGCTTAAAGCCCACTGTCTATGAACCGGCTACTAGGCGCATCGTCGTCGAAAACAAAATTTTGCGACTACGCCAGCTGTAATAAAAATCCGAGACTGCCGTGATGCTGCCGAGCTCTTTAAAAGTCATAAAAACAAGGACCCTATTTATTATGTGAGTGTTGAAAGTAAACGATACGTATCGCTAGTCATATTTATAACACTGTATCGTTTCCGCGTAGTACTTGCTTTCTGTCATAGTACGGGACGCTATAGGTTGCTCACTCCATCGTGTATAACTCTGCGGCAATAATATAGACTTCTATAGATAGCGATACGTATCGTTTATTTTCAAAGCTCACATGATAGCTTAGGTGATTGTCCATTCTTTTCCTGTACATGGAACAGACTGTAGGTGAGGTTACTGCTACCTTGATGTAAAAAGTAATTTTCGCAAAAGTTCATATTCACAGAAAGTCCTTATAGCAAAAAGTCAATTTTGCACGATGTCACATTCGCAGAATGTTATTCACAAAATTCATTGACATGCAAATTAATTTACAACTACTTAATAATATAATCATCATCAGCCTTTTTACGTCCCCACTGCAGGGGATCAGGCCTTCCTTATGTATGGTTAAGGAGCATGGGCCATGACCCTCCACGCTGGTCCAATGCGGATGGGATAATATACAAAAGCATAATAATTTTATGAATGACATTATGCAAAACTGACATTGTGCGTAATTGACTTTTTGCTAAAATTACCGTTTTCTGAGAAAATTATCTTTCTGCGGAAGTGACAAATTGTTTGGGATGACATTATCAGAAAATGACGTACCACATCCAAATCCTCTACTGTTTTGTTTACATTTTATCGCCACCTAGGGACATTTATTTTGGTAGTTTTTTTTATACTTATGTCATCGGTTTAAATAGTGGTGACTACTAATTTCATTTCACTGTACTAACTACTCCGTCGAGTGCCACAACTAAAACGTGCGATATTATTTTTTACAGTAAAAAGGTTTACTACCTCTGGCAACATCCAACATTCTGTAAGGTCTGAGTTCTCGCAGCCCTGGCCGTTATAGCCGCGGCCGTTCGTCCTTTCGTTTGGGCTGGTATAACATTTTTCTCTGAAAATTTAAAACGTTAGAAATGAAAAGTTCAATAACATACAGGTGTTAGAAACTGGCAAAATTTATTTTATACCTTAATATACTTATTGTTAGTTAGTTAATCAGAGTTGCGACCGCTTAACTAACTTGTCATCTATACTAATATTATAAAGATAAAATTTCGATTCTTTTATGTTCATATTAACTTTTATTAATTTAGTTAATAAAATTTTAATTCAGTTTACGGAATGAGGAAGTATTTTAATAAAAAAAGAAAGCACTAAAAAACACCTCCACTAGATGGCGACTGTAGCAAAAGTTGATTTTTGCAGGAAACGAATGGACCAAAGACAGTCATTTCCGTTAACTAACTTAATAAAAAACTAAAAAAGTAGCTCGGTGGCGTAGTGGATAAGCGCCGCGGCCCGCGGTTGTTGTCGTTAAGCAACTTTCGCAAGGGTCGGTCATGGGATGGGTGACCAAAAAATTACTATCTCGAGCTACTTCGTGCTTCGGAAGGCACGTTAAGCCGTTGGTCCCGGCTGCATTTGCAGTCGTTAATACCCTCCAATCCGCATTGGGCCAGCGTGGAGGGTCATGGCCCATCCTCCTTAACCATTCATAAGGAAGGCCTGAGCCCCTGCAGTGGGGACGTAAAAGGGCTGGTGATGATGTGATGAACTTAATAAAAAACTGAAATTTGAAAAGTTCAAAACGTACATATCAAAATACGAAAAAGTACAAATAGAATATGAGTTGTTTATTGAGTTTTGAAAACTAATTTACTTTTAAACATGAAAGAAAACCGGAAAGGTTGTCATGGAGAAATCAAGAACGTACCGTAGCGACATTTAGTTTGATTTCGGGAAACGAATGTTTTTTTTTTTCTTAAATACTTCCTCATAGATTTGCTGGTCTAAATTCGACTTTTATGATTACGTATTCATTTAATTATACTTCAATTTAGAAAAATAAATGATAAGTATTTAAATTATAAAACACTCAAGTATAAAATAATATTTACAAATTATTCAATGAAACGTTCTTATTGCTATTGCTAACTAGAGTCAAAGCTGCAGAGAAAAATATTTCTCTTTACTTGAAATTACACAGGTACTATATATATTTTGTTGAGAAATATTTATTTGGATTGTATCAAAAAAACTGAGCTGGTCAACTTTCCTGTTACATATTTTGTATTTCTTTTCCAAACACTGCAGTTATTATAATGTTGATCATTAGAATGATAGTTAAATATATACGGGATTGCTTCCATACCTATAGTAATATTATAAAGAGAAAAGATTGTATTGTTTGTTTACAATGAATAGACTCAGAAACAACTGGACTGATTTGAAATCATATGCGGTAACATAGACTATATTTTATCCCGAAAAACAGCAAATAAAGGGATGAAAATGGGAGCGGAAGTTTGTATAGGGAATTAAATCGATACTATAGTAACAATTGTTTACTAATCAATTTGTTATTATAATTATATCATGATATCGACGCTGGAAAGAAAACACGTAGTTACCTGCAAAACCAAAATGGATATTTAGAGTAGAAAATCTTTATCTTTTTTTAAAAAAAAATCTTACTTTCGTATAAATTGACTTAGGAAAACCTATATCTATCTATATCTGTGTGAGTGAACAAAATAGTTGTTTAAGATACGAGTGCGGAAAGTAAGCTAAAGTTTCTTACAACATTTTACAATGCTTTTTGCGAGGAAATAAAACAAATATGTAGGTTAATAAAACTAAGTATCTATTAAAGGTAAAAATTATTTGTTAAAATTAAACGTGATATTTGAACATGTTTTCGTGTCATATATTTTTATTTGAAAATATTCGTTAAAATATGAATTTTTTTAAATGTCTTTGGTGCTCGGCCAAAACGTGTGCACGTGTGCAGTAAAGGATTTCGGTACATTTTTATTTAACACGTGTTTAAAGACTCACTTTCGGTGTTTACAATGGATAAAAAAATAGCGCTCTATGAGCAATTGCATGGAAAAGTTTATTATTACCTTATTTATTAGCATGGGCATTTATAAGAATTATATTCGAAAAAAATTAAAGATTATCTGCTCTGAAGAACAATTTTGGTTTTGCGGGTTACTTCGTGTTTGCTTTCCAACGTCGGTATAATTCGATATCCAAATAAACAATTCTCTAGGAACCAAGCGGGCGAAGCCGCTGGTGGAAAGCTAGTACCTTATATTTATTGAGTCCCCGTTATTTCGGCTCTGTTGCAATCACGGAGTAACTCAAGCCTTGCGGGTGGATATTATTGGCAAATATATACATATAGATCTATAATCTTTTGATTCCTCTTACGTTTGATACCCGTACTGCTGTTCAAAAAGTCACCAATTACTCGCATCGGTTCTCGATACGCAATACTCACTGTGTCTAATCGCGAATTGATAATTTTTGACTTGTTTTTTACACACACTGGTAGCAATCCCGTATAAATTAAACTTCTAATGTCATTAATATTCAAAGTTTTAAACAAAATAATGTTGAAGATTCCATTACCTAACTTCGTCGTAATAGAAGTTTCCATAGAACTGCGCTAATCTTGACTCCGGTATAACATCTTTGACACTCTTCCGACTACTGGAGCCTCCATTTTCTTGACTTTGGCCCGTATTTGCCCGTTTCTCTATAGAAAAACAAAATTATCCTCTATTTCTAAAATGTATCGAGTAATTTATGCTTTAAATAGATTAATATTAAGAGAAAAGGCCTGAGAAAAGAAGGGATATGTATTTTACCTGGAATTGTATCGTATGTCACTTAGTAGAATAGAAAAACCATTAAAATTGGTTTCGATCCGTTTTAGATTCGATTTAAACAAAATTTATTTAGTAGAATTGGCCTCCAGTTTCACGATGCATGCATTAGTTTCACGACACTCGGGTGATGCGCATATTTTTTGATGATACTAGTTTCCCGTAACTAATTTCAGCACGATTTACAGGGCGAAAGTCGTGTTGCGACACCATTTGGACTAAGTAAAACTCGATTTTGACGGAGCCAGTGTCTCAAGAGGTAGATTCTGATTTCACACCGTTAGGAAATTAGTTTTACATGCGTTTATTCTCGTGAAACTTGTTAAATCGTACACGACAATAATTTGGCACTGAAATCTTTAGAAACAAAAAGTAATTTGACTAGTGGCAGAGATGAATAATGAGAATAGGGATGATGAATATTTTTTGTTTGTCGTAATCATTAAATTACGGCGATATATTGAGTTGAAATAAGATTGAGAAACCCTGCCCATAGAGGTTTTATATAATTAATTGTATAATTACATAAAGTCTCTAGCACATTTGAAGAGCAACGTGATTCGTTGAAATCTTTTTTACTGGTAAAATTAGATAAGCACTTTATGTAACAATTCGATTAGAACTCGAATGTAACTTATAGATTGAAATATATTAATAATTAATAATTGTATGTATATAAGAAAATATAATAAAAAAACAAAGATTTCTTTGTTTGTTTCCATTGCTTAAGCTCCAAAACTACTCGAAAGCTCTAGACGATAATTTATGCTGATGAAGTCGGAAAAACTATCTATCCCATTTTCACTATCCTAGAACAAGGCATAACTAGGACA